CATCTTGTTTTGATGAAAAAGTGCTTCCGGTGAGCTCACCGCACGCACTTGCTCATCAAAACCAGATGGCGATGCCCACCACATCAGGGTCCTGGTAGGACTTGTTCCACGTACCGGTACCGGTCCGCGGACCGGTGGTTGGGGACCCCTGAAGTAAAGGACCAAAGAAACGGGCTTCCAACTGGTTTTTTTAGAAAAGTTTTGTGATTTTAGAATTACCTGATAAAGGTTTTTCAAGGGATTCAGTGACCATCTTTATACTTGAGTGGTATTTTTCAAATAAGAATAGCACAGAATTGATACTGTATCAATTAAATTTAAAGAGGGCTGTAAAGCACTGTAAAATGGTATATAAGTCTAAGTGCTATTGCTATATTCCTGAAATATTAAAATGATATGCATATTAGTTCTATATATTCTTATTCTTCAGACACGTAAGCATATAGTTTTATTTCAGTTTTGTTTTTCTACCTAAATCATACTGAGGTCTATAAAATTTTTGATGTCTGCAGTTATACAAGTGAAAATAAGAGAGCAAAAAATATGGCATTCCTCAATTATTTTTCAGTATAATTCACATCTTGCCTAGATAGAAACAACTGAAAATCTATGTACTCTTATTTTAGTCAAAAGGATGCAATCATTATAAAAATATGCAAAAATATACAAAAGCATACAGGTTCCAGTAGCACAATGAATAAACACTTCTAAGATCAAAGCATCTTCTAATACCAAACACAATAAAAAAATGAATAGAAGACAGGGAATGTCCTACAGGCATACACTTTCCCCCCAAAAGCCTACGATTTCATCTGGAGAAACATCTGTATCTGTGTCTTTATCTGTAGTTAAGTTGTCTTCCGAAAATAAATATGTAGCTTGAAACCAAAGATAGGGGAGAATATTTATAGCTCAGGGATGAACTGTTGTTTTCAAAATATATTGTCAAACATTCCGCAGGGCATATATCTCTTCAGAATCTTAAATGTTTATATTCATTTCTAACTTTCTATTGTGCAAAGAATAACTTTCTTTTTAGTAAAACACAATTCTGTTTTAGATTAAAACAGACAAAATCATGTGCAAGATTATAAAGTTAATTTAGCATGATAGGGCATCCACACAATCAACTCACTACTACAAGAGGCTTCTAAAATAATTGCTTAAAAGATTTATCTGAAACATCAGCAAGTACAGACAATACTGCTACCCTACAAAAAGATCTTGACTATGTATCAGAATGGTCAAACAAATGGCAACTTCAAATCTCAACAAATAAATGCTCTGTCTTACATATTGGCAAAAAAAATCAGAAAATAAAATACAAGCTGAATAGTCAAGAACTTGTTGATGACCCAAGCTCTGTAAAGGACCTTGGAATACTCACCTCTAATGATCTAAGTGCTAGAGCCCACTGCAACTACATAGCCAAAAAGGCATTAAGAGTTGTTAACCTAATCCTACGTAG